CCACAAGAGTAATATTTGTATATGTTGAAATATTATTTAGAACTAAATTTTTAGACCGAATGTATTACTAGAAATCTTTAGGATTTGTTTTCAATTCATTCTCAAAACGAAATGTGTACCAGTTATTTCGGATGAATTGAAAAAAAAGGTTTCAAAACACTCAGAAACGTTCTTAATACGAAAAATTAAAGTCTAATCTTTTATAAGGATTTCATTATTTATGAGGTCGAAATTTGCATTTTTGAGATCAAAAGACTTGTGATTATTGTTAGAAAGAGATAAAAAAAATTACAAAACTCAATTAAAATAGAATAAAGGTACGTGGTGCAAGCCTTAATGTGATATTGGGAAGTCACATTGGCTGATCTGGAAGTAGAATAAAACCTTATATAAAATATAAAAAAAAATAATAGATTTTGAAATCAAACAACTCTTAGGATTGCCCATAAATGCCTCTAATCTCTGTCTCTTAAATAATATATATAGATATATAGCGCTTGGTGCATAACAAAAAAAGGAGAAAAATCAAAGAGTTAAATCAAAAGCAGTCAAAATTAATTTACAATTACAATTCATTTAACGGAAATAAAAGTAAATTTATTAGCATGCCAAATTGGACTTAACGAAGCGTGAATACATATCTACATACAAGTAAGCAGTGCTATTGTGATACTTTTCACTAAACTTTCTTTTTTCACAACAAAATAATCGTTTTATTGCGTATCAGAACTATTTTCGATTTGAATAAAATAATAAAAGAAAATTTAAAATTAAAAATTAAAAATATTTAAACCATTCCAAGCAAAGTACAATAAATAATCTTAAAACAAAGAGAATTTACTCTCAAAGAAAGCGGTAATGTGAATAATCAAAAAAGAAGAAGAATAAATAAAAATGTGACAAATAAATACATCGTTATCATTATTAATGGGTGCTAAACAAAATAGACTATATATTAATGATGTCCAATAAACATGTGAAAAGTAAAAGGAAAACAAATACAAATTTCATCATGAGCACGCATAAATGTATTGTATAAATATATATATATATATATTTACATAATGATTAAAGGCACTTGAAAGCACAATACATAAATAGAATTTCATTAATTTTAGTCGGCAGAGTTCATAGATTGTTGTAATCAATTCGAGTTTTTAATTTTCATTATTTCATTGATACACAAGTATTTCTTAGCACTCAGCGGAATTAAGTAAGAAATTATTTATTGTATCTTCAAAGCTGTTCCTAATCTCTTTCCACTTTGGCGCTAATCATAATTCTTTTTAAAGATTTCCAAAACTGACATTTTACAAATATATATTTATATAGAATGTTGTCTAATTTTCCTGATTAACCAGCTCATTTCACTTGAATGATCATTAATCAAATTATAAAACTTCAATACTTTTTTCTTGGAAACTTGCATCCAAATTTCAGAATTGAAATGTCATCTATTTATTATATAAAAGAGGATATGTGTATATACATATGCTTCTATGCCGTCTATAGACTCCAAAATTATTTTGATGATTTTGCTCACAAAGGCCAAAATATTGTTGGTCCTACTGTAAGTTTGAACAAAATTTATGCACCTAATTCTGTTATTACACGGTCTTCTTTTACACGGTTCGAAAATAAACAAATTTTAAATTTTTTACACGCTTTTATTCCATTTAGCACGATTTAGCTGCGGTCACCTCTCGGCAGGGAATGTCAACCCCTCCGAGTGTATTCCTGGCCATCAGGCGTTCGGAGGCAGCTTAGTATAAACTGTCGATCCCTCCATTTGTTGGCAAAACATCATGACGAAAAATCGCAAATTGGCCAGGCCGAAAAACGCTTCAGCGGTTACTAAGCGCCAATTATATATATACATATATTGTATGTTTATAATTAAAAAACCCTGTTTAGTTGTTATTATAAAATCATTATTTTTCACTAATTTCAATACGTTTTATAGATAAGCCTATTTTTTGTACGATCAATGTTTTATTTTGCATAAAATTTCCTGGAACTAATTGACGTGTAAAAACAGAATTATGTCTCCCAAACGGAGATCAGGGATCGACCTAATGGAAAAGTTTATATTTTTTTTGTTGCCCAAAAACTTGAGAATGTCTAAACCCTTTTGGTTAAACTTGGTCTTGAAATATTTGGGTCAATTAGAGGTTGGTTTACGCGGGATGTTCTATCTCGGAAGTGGACCGGAAACTGACATATTCGAAAAAGTTTACTTGAAACCGGGTATTTTTAGTTTAGCTAAACACGAACTTCCTGAAGTTGGCACAGAGATCAAGTTTGATTTACTTACTACGTAAGCGCAGTTCAGAGTGGGATATTCACACTTTCGAATAAGAGTTTAAACATCTAATCTCTGCCTTTAGCTTATGTGTATCTCTAGTAAGGAAAAATTAGCTCAGTGATAATCAAAAGCTAAACGCACTTGCATATATACAAACACTTAGCTAAATCAATAATATAATAAGAAGTTTAATATAATATCTTTTTCCTATTCTTTATCATTAATCATTCAATTAGTTTTTTTTATTATTAAGTTAATTTACAAGTGATTATTGTGGATAATTAATAAATCATATTTTATTGATAAGCGTATGCGAGTTTAAACCCGTTCTACATCAGCAAATAGTGAATTTCTTACAGTAAATATTTTAGATTATCTCATGTTGTTTATCTCGACTTATACATACATATGTCTATATTATATAGTTCAACTGTGATCTTTCTAACATATCCCGAATACAATCTCCCAACTTATCGAGTAAAAAGAAGGATGGCCATTTATTGTGACTTTTTTCCGAATTAATTTTCTAATATTTCATTCCCACTTGAGGCTCGAGATGAAAAAGATAAGCACTTAGTCAACCAACTCAAAAATAAAAACTAAATAAATTACTGAATTGCAAAATATATGAATTTTTTTTTCACAGTACTCGGAAGTCTCCCAGAAATTCTATTGTTCGCTGTGACATTTGAAAAAAAAAATTAAAATTCATAGATCACAACCTCGCTTCAAAATTATGCGAAAAGAAACAGATAAACAAATAAAAATTCATACAAGAAACTACCACATACACATGTGCATACATCATACAAACGTAAAATATTTCGCACAATGCTGGATTCATTAATTGCTTCAAACATACATTCCATTTTCGTTTATGCTTCTTAATTTTTGTCCATTTTTTTATCTTTTTGGGATTTCAGTATTAGCAGGAAATCGCTTGGCACATACTTGGCCACTTTAAATTTATGTTGTTCTTGCATTAACTAATTGAAATTCATTAAGAAAAGTGGATATTAGCATGGACGTTTCCACTTGCCGGCATACTCGTATATGCATACAAACATACAAACATAGCCTGTGGGTTATTTGGCCAATAATTACTACTCATTAAATTCCATTTTCTTGCCTCGCTATGTATACTAGCAAATAGTATGTAAATGTGCAGTTTAGAAATTTTTTCTATTCAATGTCAACAACCTTTAATCATATGTTTGTGTGCATGTGACTTTAAAGCATTTTCTTTTCAGTGACCACACTTCGTTTAGAACTACTGCATTTGAAGTGATTTTTTGAACTTATATCATATTAAATAATAAAAATTAATAATAAAAATTGAAAAAAAGAAAAAAAATCTATTATACGCTCTACACAAGCAAAAAAATATTTCTTTAATTTTCTAAAATGTACAATTATTCTATAAGAGATAATTTAAAATCTCGTTTTCCATAAACAAATTCGATTGGGAAATAAAATCGTGGACCACTCAAGCGTAGATTATTTCCCTGAGAGAAGTCAGAAAATGTAAGCTTTTTAACAATTGCTTGAGAAATAATTGAGGTACAAAAGTCACATAAATGCGGTTCCAAACTCTGTGAAATTTCGTACACCTGCGCTCACTCGTAATTGCAACATCAACAGGTAGTCGAAAAATAGGCGCCAATTACGCACACAAATGCACTCATTTAAATATTTATGACCAAAAGACACACGCACACGCATGCAAGCAATCTTGCTGTTTATATATGGACGTACATATAATTATATAATATATACATATGTATGTAAGTGGCACTGGTGTCGCCCCCAACACAAAACAAAGCGTTGAAGGCGTTGGAGGAGCAACAAGCTCGCACTTCATGCCGCATTGACTATTCATGAATTCATGGAAATTACAAAAACAGCAAAACTTAATTAGGTGATAATTCATAATAGAAATATTCCCACCGTTACGTTTTTTTTTATTTTCATTTTTTATTTTTTTTGTTTTTAATTACAACAAAACAAGTTAATTTTGTAGAAATGAGAATATAAAATTAAAACAAAATAAAGGTGCCATGCCACTCCCGGCAAAGAAAAATATTTCAAATTGCTATATCTATGGAGGCAAAATAGTGGTTGTGTGTTTGCAACATGCTACCCGCACACAATTTACATACTTACTTACATACATACATACATACACGTACATACATAATAGGCAAGGGCACAGCTGTACCAACTAATCAACTCCGTTCACAAAAGCCCAAAGAAACTGGGGCACCCACCGGCTAGCAAAACAATATTCGGTCAGTGTTGCAAATACACAAGATAAGAGCAAAAAATATTAAATACAACAAAAAACACAAACAATAAATGGGAAGCTTACACTTAAATATACACACAATTAAGAGTAAACTGATTTATTTATTTTATTTATGTAACACCTGTCAGTCACATTTTGTTGCCACTGTAAATATGTTTCTATTAGGCAATTGGTTTGGTTAATAACGGTAAAAGAAAAACGGCTGCTTAGTGAGACAATGTTTTTGGAAATTTTTCGCACACACTTCTGAACTGAATTTTTTCTTTAAAAGTCATAAATTCTATACTAGAAAGTGTTGGTGAGCTCGCTCGGACTTCCAAAATTATTTACAAATATTATCAGATAACGAGGAAACTAAGGTTATAACTTTAGTCCCCATCTGCTACTCACCTTGTGGACCGTTAAGACACTCCAATTCTATAGTATAGTCCCAGCAATCCAAGCTGTTTAACTTCGACAACGAATTTAGAGCACTAGGGCCATTTTGGAAGCCATTTTGTGTATTCGCAGGTGTCATTAGTGAGGGGGGAATGCGTTGTACATAACCATTATGCGTGCCCAACTCCCATGGACGGCGTATATTGACGCCATCCACTTGATCAGCGGCTGGAGTAGTGCCCTCTTCATTGATTACTCCGAAAACTTCGGTTATACTGGACGAGCAGTTGTTGACGTCTTCTGGTGTATCCTTGGCATGACCATTGACTACAACCTCCGACGAAGCCTCCTTTGCTTCGAGTCTATTTTTGCTTTCGTGTCCACTTACGGCAGTTGCAGCACCCGTGGGCAACCCTGGCGAGCCACGTTCACTCACCTTCGCTGTGGCTGCGACATTCGGTGCAATCGGCGCGGCAGTAAAGCTATTGTGCCCCGGACCTTTGACAATTCGAACATCTTTGCTGCTATTTATGGCGGCTGTGGATTTGGCCATATAGGCTAGCGAACAGAAGGGTTTGCTCGGCTTGTCGGTGGTGGTGGGGACGCGCGCAGCCGACGCAGAAGCTGCGCGCTCTACACATTTGTATTCACTCATTTACAGTATTTGTATTTTCGTATAATTAAAATTTAGAGCAACGGTGCAAAGACCGTTCACATTTTGTGTGCGTTGAAGTCCCGCGCGAATTTCTTATCTTTTTTCGTTTTGCAAATCTTTATTTGTGTGGTTTTGCCGTTAGTTCTAAATTCGCCCCACAGAGGCTGCTCTGATCGAATAGCAAAAAAATTACAAAAAAAAAATTAAATAATTTGCTATTGTTATTGTTGTTGTTTTTGTAGCTATTTATTGGCAGAATGCAATTAACTCTAAGACACGCACAACAAGTTTAGTTTCGTTTAGCCACTCTTCCGGTGCACCTGGCTAAATTGCTGCACATCAAACTTAGTCCATCCAAAGAGAAAGGGCGATGAGCACGTTGTGATGGCAGCTTAGCCGGGATGCGTGTATACGTGCAGCGTGGTAAGTGTGAAAATGGAAGACAGGTACAAAGAAAACAACAACAAAGAGAGTGCAGCAAAACGAGAATCCAATATAGATCCGAGATGCGAGATGCAAGATGCGAGATGCGAGATGCGAGTTCCAAGTCAACGCACTGCTCGTTTGCCTTGAATACTAAAAGAATATGCACCTCAAATGGCTAGCAACAGCCAGCCAATAGATAACCATCCAGTGTCGACACTGCGGACCAGCGAACTGCGGTATTGGCGGCAGACACGAAGCAGCTCGAGAACGAGAATACTACAGCTTCCAGCTGGACTTTATTCAACTGCAGTTCACTTTTTATTGAGCTCTGTGTTGTTTCTGCGTACTTTCTTGTTTTTGGTTTCTGTTTCAGAATTTGCCTTGCATGCCTTTCTTATTACATCAGGTTTGTAGCTTGAAAAAAATCACTAGCAAAAGATAATCCACAACGGCAGTGAGGTACACACTCACACATTTCACAACTGCGAACCCGAGTACCTGCACACTGACTAATGGTTTTTTGTTTGTGCATTCCCGATAGAATAGAAAAATCCAGTTGGTATTCTATTTCACTTCATTGGTTCTTTAATTCACTATTCTTTTTATTGTCATTTTCGTTGAATCACTTCCGAAAGCACTTTTTTTGTTTTTGGTTTTCGTTTTGATTGTACAGGTATTCAAATATTTGTGTGCAGCAACAATAAGACCGCAACCAAACCGTCATTCAAGTAAAACAACATATCAACACCACTAACAACAACAACATCAACAATAGCTGCTCATGAAATAAATTCTTTCTTTTCGACGCGCTGTATGATTCCAACATTCACTCACAGCTGCACTGATTCCTCGTTTCCCAATTTATGTCCGTCCAATCGTCCGTCCGCTTTAAGCAGAGGCGAACTGGTTTACCAAATGCGCTCTTAACATTCACAAAAACAAAAAAAACACAATAATGAAAGAACTATGTAACCGCAAGTCGACGCGAACGCAGAACCAAGACGGAGGGTAAATAAAGAAATAAAGAACTCCAAAGGTAAAACTCAAAACTCAAACCAGCGAATGAAGTAAAATCGAATAAGCGATAATCGACCAGTAGACGTTGTTGTCGGCAGCACGTCCAGTCAATGACTGAATAGGCTGACGCAGCGATCAATGCGACTATACCCAGCCGCAGCCAGTCAGCAAGCAACGGAGCCACAGAGCCACAGAGCCGCAGAGTCGCAGCGCAGTGTGGCGGCAATAAAACCTAAAAGAAACGTGTTGCTGCCACGTTGTTGATTGCTGCTTTCGTTGCTGCATTGACAGTGAGGAAGAAAAATCTTCGTTGTTGCTCCAACTACTCACATAGACAGCCGGTAATCAGCCGTCATTCACTCTCACTAGCGACGCGCTCCCTCGCTCGCTCGCTCGCTCACTCACTCAGTAATTCTGTTCTTCTTCGTGGCAAAGGTGTTTGATTGCTGCTGGGTTATCAAACTTTCGAGCTGGTGATGGTATATAGCTTTAACAACTGAAACTCGGCAGTGAACTTTGCACCAGAGATTTATTTCCAGCCGTGCTGCACCGTAGGTGTGTATGTGTCAGCAGCGCAAGTTAGCTGCGTTCTTCTTATCAGCATCAAATGCATCACATCAGCCGACTGCGCCGTACCTACGCCACAACCGCGCTCAATGTGGCTCTCGGCGCTCTTGTCCAACTTCAATTCCACAACCTACAAACGTTCCACAGCACACATGCGGTGTTATGCCGGCGCATTAACAATGTTTGCACCTCAGTCAGTGGCCTCTGCCAACAAACACCGACTAACAGTCTAGCAAAAACACTCCTTCATCTTCACCTGCTCCCTCCTGTTGCGGCAAGCTGGAGCTTGTTGTTTGCTCGAAAGTGATTCGAGTCGGCCCCAAATGTGTGAATGCTTCAACTTTTGTCATCGGCATTCGGTGACGGAAATTCGAATTCACCTTTGAGACTCTTAAATATTGCAACGTCTTTTTAGTTAAGTAAATTCTTTCGAATTTCTGTTCATATACACATGTACATATAATTTTTGTTTCTGCTATTGACAGAACTCGATTATCAACTTTTTCATTACGTTTTGCTTCACCGTATTTATTGTGTTTTTTCTTGCGCTCCATACTCGTATTGATTGAAATTCGATACAGTTATAAACAAGACAAAGCACAAAAAAATGGAAGCATAGCAGAACTGAGTGTTGACTTCCGTTTTCGTAGAAATTCCCGTCAATCCAATTTACGCAAATTTTGAGAGAAAGCCTTGATGGGAAAATTAAAGGGGATTTCATCAAGGGAGGGTGAGTTATCGCACTTTGCGGATTATGGTATAAACCATTTCATTTCAAAAGTCAAAAAAAATAGATCAAGGAATAGGCACGACCGCATTACTTTAGTTCGTTCATGCAAATGTTAAAACAAGCCAATCAGTTTTAATACTAAAGAAAGCTCTTACAATTGCAGTAACAAACGAATTTTACAGACCTCCAAATCCGAAGCTGGTGCCACTAAGTAACCTACTCGTACATATGATTGGCCCTTTGGAACCACCTATTTCTGATTTGCATTTCGATGACTTTTCCAACAAATGAAGAAGCATACAATTTATTCTAAACCGACCCCGAACAGACAATGGATTTTTATAAGAAGCTTTTGGATTCATGTTAGTAATACACTCGGAAGGCTTAACTCCGAACCTGGCCTTCCAAATGTAAGTACGCAATGCCAATTGCGGCCTTACTAGGTGCCGATATCCCTGCACTCCCAACAAAAGCTGAGAGAACGCAGTGCTGTAGCAATCTAAAAGGTTGGATCGATCGAGATGTACCACTTAGAAGCACTTTTCAAAACAACCAATTTAAGTACAGACTTTATTTACGACACCTCAGCTAAACTACAAGTATATTCAAAAATCTAAATGCCCTGTAATCAAATCTTTAAAGCCGATTACACCCATTAGAAGATCGGGTACTTCACCTAGCACACATAATAAAAACAATATGATTAATTTTCCTCGTGAAGATAAAGAGTGGGTAAATAAACTGATTAAAGGTCAGTAACTTGCCAAGCGGGCATAAGAATTCTAATCCATGCAAATCCAATGAAACACAACTATCGAGCTGAGTTCACTGACAAGACACCACATTTAAATCCAGCTGAAAACATTTTTATATAAATTTCCATTTAATGCGCACACTTCACTGAACTGAGCTGCGCGTCTAATGCGATTCTCATGTACTTTACTGTACTGTAAATACGACAATAGCCGACGAGGGTGTGTCACACGACAAGGTGCAATAATAGGCGAGAGCCCTAGCCAATGTGGGGAAATAATATGAATTTGCCTATAGGTGTTGCTATGTTGCAAATAAAGTGATAAATAAATATAAATTACAAAAACATGTTTCAGGAAGTTCAAAGCAACAAAGCACTCTAATTAGGCTTGCTTACTTACTTTCAATTGCACATACACGTATTTAGAGGACTCACAAGTTGTGATAAAAAGTTTGAAAGTCATATGATTAATATATTTATGTTTTATTGATTTTAGTTTTAAACGCCGAAAAATAACAAAATCACAAAAAGAAATCGAAAAAGTGTTGGAAAACTCGGACACTTTTTTTCAAAACGGTTTTGAGCTCGATGTTAAGTATTTTCCTAGAGCGCTGGCCACGCTGAGCCCTCAGAGTGTAGATCGGTGCTTTCTGTGTCGTTTCATCGTTGGGATATACGTAGTTGTGCTATGACAAATGAATTTACTGAACAGATAAGACCGAAAATAATGAAAATCGGCGAGCGCGACTGTTATGCGAGCACTGTTTCGATTGCAACTTGAGAAAGGCGCGATGAACAAAGAAGCTCGATGTTAATCAAAAAGAACCTGAAAAACTAAATCCTAACAAAATCAACCCATTTCTGAAGCTGATGATGACTAGTAATGAAAAGTGGGTCACTTACAGCGTCGAAGGGCAGTGAGCTGGCACAAACAGTACCCAAGTAGGGATTTACGGCCAGGAAGGTTTTGTTATGTGTTTGGTGCGTTTGACAAGGAATCATCCACTATGAATTGCTCTCCTGCGACCGAACTCTTAATCATCATCAGATCACACACGTCGATAGTGACTCGCCAGAACTCCAAGACCTCGCACCAAATGACTACCATCTATTACTGTTCCTATGGCGGATGATTTGGCTGGTGAAGAATTGGCCTCAAGAGAAGCCGGAGAAAAACGATCAGTAGAGAGAGTCGAAATGGCAAAGTTAACTGGGTAAATGGTGCGTATTTAATCTAAATCGGATAATTCCATCTATGGAAAGTAAAATCTTCAATTTTATTCAAAAATACGGATGACTTGTTACTTGACCTAGTAAATCGAAGGCTTTGTCCTAAATGATTCACGGATCAACCCACAGTCTAAATCACTGGCCGTAGTGACCTGAAACCTTTGGAATGTATTTTGCGTATGACATAGGCATCCGACAAGAAAATATTTTCCAGGAGGTGGATCTGTTAACGATCTATTCAAAAAAATTTACTTTACGTTAAAATCGTTCGGTTCACATAAAATTTGGTCCATACATAGATTTTGGTCTAAATTTATATGGGAAGCTTTATTTCTTCCGGGGAGTAGACCTGGGGTCGATCTATTGGAAAACAAATTAACAACGCGAAAAAAACTTTCAATTTAAGAAATTCAATTAAGTCATATGAAGATAAATATATAAGTAAATATATAATATATATACGCGTGTATATCTTGCATTTATGAAAAAAATCATTCTTAAATTTCTTTTAATTTTAGTATCTTAATATATGTCAACTTGAACTAAAAAAAAAAATATATATATATATATATATATATATATAGTTGAAGGTGTGTCGGTGCTCAGCAGATAATATCCGGAATAATACCAACTTTTTGCTTGCTTGCCTCATTATGCCCACTTACAAATAAAAATAGCAAAGTTAAACATTTTTAATGCTCCTTATTAAATTGTAAATATGTATATATTATGATCATAATGTACATAATATACTTGCAATTTGGTTTAGATTGAGACAAGTAATTGTATTTAATGGCAATCGAAAAGTCGTATAAACCACACCGACATTTGCTACCTTTTGACGTTGCATGTTGCATGTTGACGCAAATTTAGGGCGTTCAATCAGCATTTGACTGGCGGTGGTGGCGGTGGTGGCGGTGGTGGCGCTGGTGATCTTGACTGCAGTAATTGACGGTCAGCGGCCGATCAACAGCAATGGTTCGTTAGTCAGTCGAATTCGTGGCGGCTGCAATTACCACTTCATTAACTAACAGCACATTTTCTGTTTCTAAGATTTAATATTGTGAACTGTTTTCAGCTTTCGTTTCGAAACTTTTATTTTGATTTAGTTGCAAATTGACTGCCTCAGTTTGACACTGCTGATGCATGCTGGGTGAATATCGTGACATCGGTAATTGGAAAATAAAAATGCCACATTATGAGTAAGGCTATTGCGAAAACAAGTGACCCAACCATCGACCTTTGTTAAATTATTTTTTACGATTTTCAAATTACGAATTACCGAAGAGTCATAACTTCGATTGCATTTATCTGTATTGGCCGGTAATTTGCATGCGCGGTGTTTTAACAATGTTCAGCTAACAGTTTAGCATTTACAGTTAAAGAATTAAGTGCCGCAAACTGCTACATCACAACAACTTATTGACTATTCCAGGTGGCAACCATTGTAAAAATATCTTCTACAAAATCCTCTTTCTTTATTTTTTTATTTAATTAAAAAAATGGTATATCTGGCAGCCCTTTAACAAAATTTTTCAAATCTATTTTTTCTCAACTTACTTTAGTATTGTTAAAAATATTTTTTTTTATATATTATACATAATTAACTAATTAATTACTTGGCAACAATTTCTGCTTACATATATCTCTTGAATTATATATACAAAATCTATCGCCTTTTCGTTTTTACTTAGTAGTTTCGAACAGGTGGCAACCATTCTACATATTCCGACCGAAATGAGAACCTGTTGTCAGTTTTCACACAATCCTTGGGTTCCTCTCGCACCCGGCTCTTCCTACAGTTTTGCGAAACGGCAACTTGTATCTACCAATTGAGCAGTCGATTGAGCCAATCGTCGATTTCTTTATTTGTTTACTGCAGATGTCAGTGATAGGCACGATGATGACAACCGGCATGGAGCAGCTGAATGGGTAACGCATTGGTGAAAGAGCTTTTGCTGCCGTGGCAGATAAAAATTGGCAAAACAACATAAAATACTCAATATGTGAACCGATGGCGCTCATATGTGTGGCCAGGTACGGGCAACAGCAGCGCTGATGGTCACCGCCTCCTACACTCACCTGCCTGGAGCAAGTGAACGCAAGCAAAGAGCTCCTACCAGGCGCTGTCAACAATGACAAAAACAACCCTTCAACTCTTTAGTTTTATCTTGGCAGTAAAAAATTTGCTATGCGACAGTCGCTAATAGACAAACAAACCGCCAAGTGCTGAATGACAGCTCAAAGCACGGCTGACGTCCACGCGGCCACCCTCCCACACTCCTTCCGCCATCAGCCGTCAACTCGTATGCAGCTCGCTTCGGAATTCAGTGACCCGTTCACCAAGCAAGTTGGCGCAGTCATAAGTCATTTCGGGGCCGAAAATGGAGCGGAGAGAAGCGGCGTGCAAGTCACCATATTTTTCACGAATTTGCATAAATACGAAATTAAAAGCCGTCAAAATACGAAATTGCAAATGCAGCCAACGGAAAAAAATAAATTCAAAAAACAAAAATAATAACAAAATAATAAAAAAAAGCTTATAAAAAAACAATTTAAAAAAAATGCCATACAAAGCCGAATAATACTGAAAACAGGTGAACACCTTGAATATGGCCATACAACACGCCAAAAACAAAACAAAAACAAAACAAAAACAAAACAAAAATAGAAACAAAATCACTAAGAGCCGGCGCATTGTTCCATACGCTTACTGCGCAAACGAAGTTGGCTGGCAAAGAAGAAAAAATCAAAGGAAAAGAGAGAAAAATTTGGACACCTCTTAGAGGCGCTCATGCAGACAATCTCGTAAAAGCGCGTAAAAAATCGCAAAACTACCTTTCTAAAAATGCGCAAATTTATGCAGACGATAAATGGAAGAAGAAGAAGAAAACAGAAAACGCAGCCAGCAACACCGTCATTGACAGTAGCTGATTGTGGTGAACACTTTTTCGCGCAGTGAACGCGAGAGAAGAGGAGTTGAAGGGGACTCTTTGGCGATAGTGACGGTGATGCTGTAAAGCTGCAAAGCTGTAAAGCTGTTGGTCATTGCGGCGGTGAATGTGTTGACGAGTATGTTGGCTGCTTTCTGGCTTGATGGAGGCCACGACGTTGTAGTTGGCGGAGTTGTTGGACATAAAGCAATTAAACTTAAATGAAATAATGAAACATTTCTGCCTGCTATGCTGCCTCGCTACATATCTTACATACCACACAATGCGAACTCGATTGTTCAAACCATTAATATGTGAATTGAAGAAATATTAATCCGCAGATAAGAGAATTGTGAGTCCAATTATATTGGAAGAGACGCACACTTATTTAATAGATGAATTTCCTTTTTTCAAAGCTTACGGAAGCAGTGAGAAAGTCTCCTTATATATTAGTATACCAAACTAGCAGCTCGACTCTTGAAGAATGCTGCCTGACCCGAGTCTGCCCATTCGACTCCGAATAAGTGCATATTAGAAGCGAAAGATGAGCGGTTTGAGTGGAGAAAAGGGTATGTAGCCAAACTGAGGATCACTCTTTGTATGAGTAACATAATCATAGTGAGTAATATCTTTTTCCAAAAATTTCCGAGAAAATATAGAGAGCACCATTATGCCTGGATAACCTGCAAAGCTCTACATTAATTCGATAGCCGCAAGAACTTGCTGATGCCAAGTTTGTTTGTGTGGATTCCACTGGCGACCGTGGGGGGGTCCAGCCTGCATCTGTGGAGCAATCCTGTCCCATTGGTGCCTATTTGGGATAAATACTTTATAGCCATTCCTGAAGTCGATGAGGGTTATACCCTAGCGCATACTTACCGGTAGACGGAATCTGGTTGACCACTTTCCATTCTGAAGCCTTATCAGCGCAGCACATGCTCTACAATGATTAATGAATTCCACTCATTGGAATACGCGGCTAATAAATATTACATAAGCACGAGCTGGAACATTCATCATACAATGACGTCAGCAATGCTCAACACTGTCACTTAGCACCAGCCAATATGCCGAAGACACAGCCACATACGAGTATTCTTCAGTACGCGCAACCATAAATAAAATGCCAAATGAATTATTGGCGGAAACGCTCATTAAAAGTCGTGCTCGATTCCCATTATGTCCAAAGCTAAAAGCAGCAGTTTTATTACTCAACTCACCACCTTACCCACCACCCACCGTATCCCCGCGTCCCATATATTTATGTATACAAATTAATGGATTCGCGGCGGCGTATTAATTACTTTTGCACAACCACTCGGAACCAGCAGCTACCTATACATATATGGGGCTATGTGCTTTAGTGTGTATGGAAAGGAAAGGGCGATTCAAACTCAGTGTTTGTTCGGCGACGCAGCTTACTACCGCGCAAAGCGGCTTTCTCCAACGGAGACTGAACAGCATTGTTGCTGTCTCTGCTGTATCAAGCACCTACGGCACAGCATACAAACATCTACTACATTGGTATGTGCGCTTCGAGTGCATCCAAGTTATACGCTGAAATTCAAAACGCTCACCTCCTTTGTACGCTGATTTAGCCAAGCGAATTGAAGAATGGATCGGATTGCAGGCGCTCCCGACCAGCGTAGGCCCTCCGCACGTAACTAGTTTACAAACACGCGCGCAGCTCCGCAGTTGTTTGGCGTAGCACTTGTTGGCAATTGAAATTTCCCTGAAACACTTGACGTTGTTGTTGACGCTCGTAGCGATTCGAATTACATGGTGCAACAGCACCGCATTGCTGCACTACTGTGGAATAGGCAATTGTGATCGTCGCCGGCAGTCCGTTTGTCCGTCCGTTCGTCGCAAGGGGTATTGCTTACGGTTTGGGTTGGTCAGTGTAGCGAGATGTGGGTACGGTAACGCTGGACGTCAATTTCAAATAACGTCCAACACCTTTCACTATTTCAAACAATTTTTTACACAACAAGAACAACAACAACATCAAAGATAAACGACACCAACGTGAATGAATGTCGCCAATACCCAATACGAGTAAGATCGGACAGTGAGCTATGTTACATATTAAGGTAAACCAACGCAGGGATCACAAAAAATGGGTAAGAATGAGCTAAGAGTGCACTGAGCCGGGTATTAGATACCTGTTTGTTTCACTTGAATGGAATCTAGCCGAGCCTTCCTATAAATGATCATTCTTCGCTTTCCATTTCTGTTCGGTTTTTTCTATCTTTTTTTTACCGTTGTGGGAAGAACTACGCCAGAGCTGGATGAGCTTAGATGAGCCCATTGCGGTCTAAACGCTTTATAACATAAACATGACTAAGACGCTCATATAACAATTTTAATACAAGCAGCTGGGCAGGATTTATACAAATGCTTTCACATATGTACATGCACATGTTTGTGGTAGTCGAAATTCCGCCAAAAACAATCTATTTAATCTTCACTATCGGCACCTTCAGCACCAGCGCTTTCAACACCAGCAACCTCAGCTTCAGCAATCAACGTCTTGAGTATCAAACAAATTGCTTGTCGACCAATCACTATAACACACACACACATTCGCAGACCTGCCACTATTCATTTAACGAACTGTTCGTTTGACTGCCCATTCCGAGAGGATTTCTTGCCGCCCCAATTCCCTTCCTTTACGACTTCAACGTGAACAAGTAATTTTTCCGCTATCGGGCAATCCAATCATTGTATGGTAACAACGACAACAACAACAATAACAACAACAATAGAAAAAACATTGGATTCGTGCCATTACTGGATTTGTTGCTCTAATGACGTTTTCGGTTGCCAACCTGTGACATTTCGTTGTTGTGAAAAATATTCACCGACGAAAAGCTGACGTGGATAGCCGGCGAGGTTAAGTCGGCTGCGGTGGCTGCGGTGGCTTAGGTAACGGCGACTGGAATGCGTGGGCGCAGATTGTCGCAGAGGCGTGAGAACGATCACAGCAGCTGTCGCAAGCCAAAACAACAACTACAACAACCACAACGACAACGATGTTTGGCAGTGTGGTAGACAGTGCAGCTCGATTTTATGATCAACACGATCACCAAATAATTTGTAATTGTATCTAGCGTAACCGTATCGGCAACAACAACAACAACAACAGAGAAAACAGCACAAAACCAAGCAAAGTAAAGCAGAAAATCTCTTGAAAATGCACTTTGCATGTAAAATAAATTTGTCTTGGCCTGCAGCAAACCGACATTTACCGGCCGTTGGATGCGGTCATTTAACCGTCGCTCCGTTTTGACATTTACACCGATCACCAATGAAATTTGGATTTTCGCATAAACAACGCCATGTTATTCCACATTTAATACACACAAATATATGCACATATTTACAGGTATGTGCTTTTGTGCACTCCCTCATAAACAAATTTACGAGTCGCATTAATAAATACAATATTTTCTCCTTCGCAGAAATAAATAATTTTTGAAAAATTGTAAAATTTGTACATGTGAGGAAAATTTGTGGAAGACACATTAGCCAACCTAATGAACCTTACGCTTGAAGACGCCACGTAAATTACGCTATTTCGCCCTTTCCCTACCTCAACATCGATAACTTTAGCTGACGGCAAAGCAACTCGCTCTGAGCCCTTCCGCACTCGATGCCATCTTTGACGATTCGCAAATTGAAGTCTTCGAACTCGATGCACAACAATAAGCGCACGTGCAACAATCCACACACTAACAAACAAAAGTGGCAGGAGAAACAGTCACTGTCTCCGGACAAGAGGAAATTCCAAACGTCAAATTCGAACCATGTCAAAGGTCATAGATATTTAGCCGACAACACAATTAGCAGCAGGCAGACACTGCAAAGAGACGTTTAGATGACGGGAGAGCGGATATGTGCTTCGCTACCGGCACCGATTTAAATGAGCTGATCTTCGCCTCCTTGGCTCAATAATTTTCCATAAGGTTTCAGGATTACACTTGTCGTAGTTGCAAGGCCAATGCTCTTTCTAAGTGTGGTTCATGGTCTAATTATTAAAAACATTCCAATAAAAACTACGAGGGAGCGTTTTTATGTTCACGGAATGAGAGAATTGTGGGGGAGAGATTAGAATCGTACCGGGTTTGGTGACTCATAATTTGTGTAAATTCGATGTTTTATTGTTTTTAGATAACTAACCTTAGAGCTATTGGTAACCAAGAAACATAATCGGGAGCGAAAAGTGTAATACGAAAAAAGTCGCTTGCGGCTATGATGAATAAGATTAACTTTGTTTCCGCCAACTCTTGCAGAGAAAGAACATGACATACAAATAGCATAGATAGACCAAAAGTTGGTATCCCATCAAAGATTCGGATTGTTTCATGTGAACGGTCCAAACCCTACGCACAGTCGCAGGGGATGTTTATTAGCCACCCAGAGGATACTTCGTATAAGACTGTGATCGTGAACTTCTTGAACCATATGCAAAAGAATCGTTTCCACGGTGGATGGCAGTCATAAGCTTTCCTCATTTCCGTGCACTTCCACAGATGACCCCAGCCTTCCATTAGAGCCGTGACTCATGGTTGCGTGATTTCTTCAATACATCAAATGTCATCGCGTTCGCGACTCGGCAACCACGTCGCTGTTAACAGGCTGAATGAATGCTGGTCTGTCCAATAATAGCCAGGAAATTCTTTCATCTGAGCTAGCTAGAGAGTCCGAATGAATGCAAGCGCACCAGCTTTGAAATTATTCGATGGATGGTACCCGCTGGTGGAGCAAGAGAAAGAGTAAGACATCCACGTCGTTGGAAGGATCAGTTGGAGAGTGAATTGGTTTCACTCGGTATTTCCAACAGGCGCCAAATAGTCAAGAAATGAAACGAATGGTGCCAGTGAAGAAGAAGAAGAGGAACAATGATAGCATAGTATTTAATTCTGAGCCGAGTCAAAAACCATTCTAAATTGAAATGTTACTGTTTTTCCCTTTCTGGATTGCGGAAAATATAGCGAATCGAAAAAGAGTTATAATTTCATTATATAAGTAAGGGCTGCTTAGGCCAAAGAAGAAGAAGAAGAAGAAAAAGAGGTATGACAAAGAAATGTATGTAGGTGTTCATAAATAATTACTGCAGCGATTATGTAATAAGAAATATATATTTAAATGAGAATGTATTTCAAATTGCTTGTACCTCAAATAAGATTAATTTGCTCTTTTTCTTACCATCCAACATATATTGCGAAGCATCTTCTTCGCCCGCCTTCGGCACGCCTTCGGTGAAAACTTCCATATTGACTCTCACTTAAAACGCTTTGCTGCTGCAATTAATTTTATTTTCTGTTTAATACTTAATTGGGGTTTTTATGCGTGTTTTTGACTAAAACTGCACATACAGACGCACACACAAATCTATTTATATTCAGTTGGTAATTTACATGCGTTTAAACTTTTCCACTTTTTCTGCAACACCCACTGTTAATTGCTTTGGAAATCGTGAATTACGTACACGCACAACGCGACTACTTGGCATTGATCAAGTTATGCTGCCATTTGTTTACATATGCACATATACATAGTCGTATACATAATTTTTTTAATTTTATTTGTTTTTAATGTTTTCGTGTTTACTTTTTTCTATACAATTTACTAATTTTTTCTTACTTTTTCGTTATTTTAAGTTTAATTATGTTACCTCAAATTATCAGTAAATTAATCAGTATGTTGAGCGTTGCGGCCATAATATTTGTTTACATTTCCCAGGATGATTTCACGTTTCGATTAAAATTTTTTTGGCGTTTAAAAATATAATTTATGCATTTTTGTATTTACGAGATTTTTTGTTTGTTTCTTTTTTCACTCACTGCAACTTGTTTACTTTGCAAAGATTACTTCATCTCGACTAATTCACTGGTATTGGATGTGGATTTGGATTCATCGCTTTTATTTTTCACATTTCATTTTGTGTTAATTTGTGCGTCACCTTGAAATGCAATGAATATACGAAAATCTCAATCAGCGAACCGTCTCAATTTTGCTGACTACGAAATCTAGCAGGGGTGTTTGCTAGTTTACTTGTGGTTTCTATTGTTTTTGTTGTGACATTCAATAATATTTGTTGAGACTATTTGGCCATCGCATTCTCACTTCGCAGAATAGGTGAATAAACAAATATTGAAAATAAAAAAAAAATGTAAAAATTGAAAAAATTGAAAAAAAAACAAACGAACGAACGAAGGCAAACACATTTCGAAATCTAACGGCAACAACATCAATTGACAACTAAATACTTGAGAATATGCGCTTACATACATATGAACGGATGTGTGTATGTGTGCGGTCGAATGTGAGAAAGTCTAAGCCAATTGAATACCAAATGGGCAGCAGGTAAACAAAAGACTTAGGAACCAAACCCGCTACGAGCACCTCAATTCGCGATATGGAGAACAGAAAACTTGTTAAATGGCGAACGTGTAAAATCCGCCCAAATGACTTCATAGCATATGCTAATATGCCGATCGGAATAATTTATAATCGCTTACCCACCGACGACACACATTTGCAAACATAAGTATGTATGTATGAGTGCACATACATACGTGTATGTACAAGTATTTGAGGCATAAATAAAAGCAATTTGTCAACCATTGGAAAGGAAATGCCAAGCGACAACAAGTATTTAGCCACCTTACAGCTGGTTGGGCGAAACTGTTGGTCGGTGCAAGCGCCTTTTTCGTGTCGGTTGTTGGACGTACTTGTGTATGTAGATATATAATACGTATGTCTACATTTATATGTTTGGACTGTACATAAGTGGTTCTATTGTATGTTGATTATATGAATATATGAATTATGAATTCAGCAAACGCTCATCCATATAAACCCAATATTCACCGTTGCAATGCAAGAAATTTTAAAATTTGCTAGATTAAGTTTTTCGATTATTGCGTGGAAATATGTTCAGGTACATACATATATTCGAAAGAGGCTCTTGAGTCATGTATGTATGTATATATGCATCCACCTCCACCGCATCTCTCTTGGCATGAAAGGTGAAAGACCGCGAAAGCGAACTCAGCACCAAGAAACGCCTCAGAATATTCGCTAAACTTACATTCGCAACGCACACCAATAACAAACATATATATATATATGTATGCATATATACGCATATGAAACCCAGTAAAGATTTTTTCAACTTAAACTTCTAAGGCTTTATTCCTTTGCTTCTACTGCATCTCAAAAAGATTAAATTATACATCCCTGTGAAATGTTTTTCTAGTTATAATGCAAGCTAATCTTCAGCTGCTTCCTAGACGTTCGGTCCACAACTTTCGGTTTTCCAGAAACACTCAATAAATTCTCAACATACTCCCAACTTGGCCTGAGCTTTAACTCTTGGTTAGTGCTTACGGGGCGTCATTGCATCTGTATCAATATATTTTTACGTACTGACATACATATATATGCAAGCATACATAAAGGGTGCTATTAGACGTACACGTATAGTTTTCAATAAAGCAACACATTTTTCGGAGTGGGTCTATTTGAAAACTGTTACTTGATTTATACTCCGTTTGATTCACATTTTCATCTTCAACAGACTTACCCCGAAAAACTTTTGCAAATCCTATAAATGTCAAACCTCAATAATGGATCGGTTTGGGTGGACGCATCACGGGTCGCGTCCAATATTCGGTCGACATAATCGCCATACAGAGTCAGTTTCGCACCATGTTTGCTATAGCGGATAATGCGCATGCTCAGAAACGCCGTAGAGTGCGCAGCTGCTGAGTACCGAATGAGCTTACCCACGCAGCAATTGAGCTGTGGTGATAATCTTCGAGCCATTTTTATATTGTCAAAAGGTTTGTATTTGTCAGAGAGGCATGGCCCCCACGATCGTCCAATTTAACACTGCTGAACCATTTTTTTTTGGTGTTAAAAGAAGTCGCTTGTCTACGAAAATAAGCCCGAGACGTTTGACGCCTTAGAAGACAACATTCAGCACGTTATTGCTGGCACACGGCCTCAAAAACTACAGAGTTGTGTTCGGAAATCGGGACCCCTGGCTGGATTATATTCGAGCCAACCTCGACCATCATTTGGCCTTTAAAGATAAACTCGTGGTCATAACATTATTTTTTTTTCTTTTATTTCTTCCTGAAAACCATATGTCTAAAAAAAACACCCTTCATAAGCTCAGGCAGATACTAATTTCAAACTTGCAAACGCCACACCTACACATCAACGCCAATACATAATCGTAAAAACTCGCATATTGCCTAAAGAGCTTACTTGCAGAGCGGTTACCCATTTCACTGCCGTATGTCTCTAGCCCGCTCATTATTCGTCTTGCCTTTATACATACAATAAACTCATAGGAGTACGTATTTGCATATACTCGTAGTATGTAAATATGTATGTATGAGTATTTGAATACAGACTTGTATGTTTATGAGTCAACCGCAGCAGTTGAATGTCCATTTTGTTAAACGTCGATT